GGGGTTACTGGGTGTGAGAGAATTAGAAAACAAACATTTTTGAGAGTGTGAGAACAATAGAAGAGTAATCAGGAAGACAGTAGATAATGATTGACATTGCATTTAAATTTTTGAAGATCAAACTTGTCTGGAAAGCAAGAAGCCCGAAGAGAGTTACACAAGTGAGAAGCGTGAGAAAAGAAACTGTTAGCATTAAATTTACAGTTACATCTAGCCAATTCAGTAGTAAACCAATGGGAACTTGTTCCTAACTTAGTACTGCACTTAAATTCATAAAATCTAGATAGCAAAGAGCTCATCCAAACAATTACCATGGAAGTATTTATAGAAAAGGTACAGGCAAGCTATGTTACGGCAGTGGGAAAGTGACTTATGCCGAGATGCCAAGTCAGGACTAATAATATTGCTGATTTATCTTTGGATTTTATCAAGGATCTCTTGATATATAACAAGCACACTGGACAATATGTCACAGCAATATTTGAGGCATGGATGAATGGTAGACTTATAGATATGTAAAATAGATTCAGGATAGAAGAATTCTCTTGCATAGACAAGTAAGGGTAGTTTTCATTTGCTTTGAACAGTATCTTTGATGTAATCTTCACTGTTTTAATTTTCTTCTCCTATGAAAGACTACAAAATATACTTACATAATCTATTAGCTTTACCCTATTTATAGCTCTTAATAAATTTTGTCTTTTTGTTATCTCTCCTAAACCCTGTCCTGCCATTCATTTATCTGTTATGTATTGTTTTCATCTGTACTGATTCTTCTTCCCCTTCTTCTATGTGCCGTTTCCTTCTTAATAAATTTTGTCTTTCTGTTATTTCTCCTAAGCTCTGTTCTGTTATCGATTTACTCAATTTTACTAAGTATGTTATGTATACTTTTCTGTATTATCTGTGAATTGCCATCACATCTTGGGAAAGATAATGGAATTCATTTTCTTTACAAAACTGCTCATTATTGTTTGTTTTTTTAAATTTTTACACTCTGTAAAAGGCCTGGGAGCCACTCTAGTTAGAGGTTTATAGAGTAAGAGGCACAGTTTATGTGGATATGTGGGAAAGATAATGGTTGACTAGACTTGAACAGGTTAAAATTGTAGTGATCAGGGGAGCATCCTCTTGGGAGTTGGTTCCACAAAACAGCAGTTTGTGGGAAGAAGCTGCTTGAGTGGAATTTGCATCTCGCGAATGGAATATGAAGTGAATGTATGTATGAAACAATTGACTTCCCATGACAAAAGAAAGGAAATGTCACACTTTAAATTTGCATAGCTGATTTACATATGAAGTGATGTATAGAATTTAGTCATGTATCTGAAAAGATTAGATATTTAACAGCCAAAGAAATACAAGCGATAAAATGTGTACGTTTAGTTGTCTTTTTAGGACAAATAAGTATAACTGTTAAGATTAGTATAACTGCATAGCGACAATATCGTTTTTAATGAAAAAAAAAAAGTAAAGAACAATTAATTTTTATATTTATCAAAAAATTAACATTTGTTTCAATTTCAAGTCACTTTTATTTCCAACTATAAAAACGATGTTATTAAGTTAAAAATGAAGAGGAAATTACTTGCTGTAGAGATAGTTTGTTCTCAAACAATTTAGAAGATAAAATGTCATTGTAGGGTCAAAAAAACATACCTATCAGAAGAAAATGATAAAATATCTTTTAATAAACATTATGCTGACTTTATTAAAAAAATTCCGGAAAAAAAGAAGGCTACATCATAAAAAATGTCCGAAACCATAAAAACAGTTTCAAAATCTTTATTATTAAGTAAGAAGACTAAGAGGAAAGGTCAAAAGATTTTTTATATAAAAATATTTTTTATCTTTCTTTTGTAACTTGGAAATTTTGGTTAAAAATCTTGTTTTTTTTGGCATCAACATGAGACCTTAAAATTTCTGTGGGAAATTTGAGTGCTTATTTTTGCAATGAAGAACACATGATGTAGAAAATTTTGCAAAAATCAGATCATTGTCAGATTTTAAATTAATTTTAATTTTTAATAACACTTTCAGGATTTATTCAGAAATTAATTAAATTACTTTTGAAAATCTTTGTAAAAATATTTTGTTTTATCTGTTAACCTCCATTCAATACTAAAACATTTTTTGCTTATTGGAAATTTAAATTTACCAATTAGCTTGGAATTAAATCAAAAATTAAAGCTTCAAGAAAGATTTTTTCATTTTTTTTTTTTTTTAAATGCATTTTAAATTTAGGTAATTATTTTAGAGTTCCCAAGCAATATTATCAACAAACATTATTAATGCAACAAATTATGCAGCACTTATTTTGATTAACTGATTACTTACAACAATTACTTCACTCTAGGTACCACCAAAAGTTGCATTTTTTCGGAATGAAAGCAAAGAATGTAAAATTTAGTTCCATTTTCGAGTGTGAATCTTCTTTACAAGAATTTTTTCCTTTTACATTATTTTTTGTAAAGACATTTTTATTTATGTTTAACGTTGTTATTTTATAGATACAAGTATTTAAGCAAATGCTCTGTTTAAGATAAACAGTATTAAATAACATTTACCATTTATTTAATACTGTTTATCTTAAACAGAGCATTTGCTTAAATACTTGTATCTATAAAATAACAACGTTAAACATAAATAAAAATGTCTTTAATAAATAAATTGTCGGACCTTGTCCATTTCTTAACATTATTTTTTGTATAGATGTTGAAAAAAGGAAATACTTTTTTTGAATTACCGTCTTTGACTACTCTTTTTTTTTCCTCCTGGAAGAATGATATTATTATTCAATAAATCTTAAATTCAGAATAATTAAAAAAGCCTGAATGGGTGCAATTATTTTGCGAGATCAAACATACAAGAAAATAATAATAAAAAAAAAAAAACAATCAATTCACTAGTTTTTAATTAACTAAAAAAAACATGTAATATAAAAAAATAAAATTATTCATTCTACTAAAACTAAAAAATAAAAGCGTATAGAATAAAAAATATATTATTTTAAACTGTTGGTTGTTAAAGGTAATTTATTTTTAAATATAAAAATACCGGTTTCTTGATTATTGCTCTGCTGGTATTTGTTTTTAATTTAATTTTTAATTTTTCGCGAATTTTTTAAGTCAGTAATGAAAGAAATTATGCCGCTTCTATATTTGACCTACCGTACGTAAATAAACGTTATTTCAATTTTTGTTTTAAGTTTTTAAGTAAAAAGTAAGCATTACAAAATCAAGTTAATTATTACTTAAATTTACTGACTTCGATGAGTAAACGTTCCAATGTTTTAAAAATGCCTAAAATCTTTCTTTATTTACATGCGGAAATTCATTTTCCTTGAATTTTAATACGATTATTAACTTTCTTTATTAGTTTTACTTTTCAAATAAAACCAAAATTTAACTCCAAAAAAGACAGTAAAATTATTTAAAATACGTTTTTCGTTTGTTTTTAGGAAGTCCGTGGCGCTGACTTAAACTGTAATTAGCAATAAAGTGTCATATGTAAAAAAGCACTGTATTTGCGGTTAAATTTGTTTTTGTTTTAAAACAATTCACTGACTATTGTTTGCGTCACGTGACAATAATTGTAAAAAGTAACGCACCAAAATAAGTAATCAAGTAATAAGTTCTCTGAATATCGGCGCCTTTTAGTTTTATTTATTCTTTGATTTAAATGAGAGAATCATTTTTGAGCCTCTGACCTCGATGACTCTTAGTTTTCTTATTTTTTTCTACCTACTAAGTCTGGCAATGTTGCCGAAGTTGAGATGCCAATAAGAGTTCGATATCTTACTTTGATAAAAAAAAATGTTTGTCACACGCAACACTCACAACACAGTCATCATGTTTTTTTTTCTCGGTTCCTTTTTCAAAGCGTTATATTTTTGTCAGCTTATTGACCTTCATTCTTCATTTTTGTTTCTTTATGTGTGCGTGGCTGAGTTGTTCAGAGAGAATGTTCCGACCCTGAGAGACCTGGGTTCTAATTTCACCATGGTCGATAATATCGGTCTGGGAGAGACGATCCCAGCATGCTTTACCGCTGGGAGGTGCTTAAAAAAAAAACAACAAAAAAAAAAACGTACCACCGGTTGACCCAAACTGCGAGCGAAATAGGGTAGAAGTTGTTCGAAAGCCGTCAATAATTGTGAAGTCACAAGTCACTGTTAGAATAAGCCTTACCTACTTAGTGACTGTCACTGTTCTTCATTACTACACTCGTCTTGTGAAGAAAGGGTTACATGCGTAGGCACGTTTTTTAGTTGCACACATTTCAAAGTGTGTGTAACTGTAGTGTACATACAATGTTTGGTAAATATTTGCATTAAAAAATTCAACATGTTGGATTGAAATATGTGAGTTGATTTTGAATGTTCCACTTCATACCTGTCATTATTCTGATCAACCTTGTCAATGTTTTTAGCACGATTTCTCTGGTATATATTTTTATTTTTTGTCTACCTACAGTGCAGTACACTGTACACTACACACAAGATTAGATGACAACGCATAGTTTATTTTATTTTTTTCACGCGCATTTATTACTTCTTCCCTATTATCGAGCTGGTATATGGGATATTTGCTAGGTGAGATAAAGTAAACATCTGGGGAAAATAATCTACTTAACATTGCATAATAATCGAGATTTGATATGAGAATAAAAAACATTTTTAGAGAGTATATTCCCCCGTAAGCCCACCGGAGATACGACATGTGTGTTTATTTTATTGGGTTGATTAATAAGTTTATAGTATTATTTTTCTCTCTTTAAGCAATCAATGAATGAAATGACACAGTATCTTTCTTTTTCTGTGACCTTTTCATTATTCTGACAACTGTTTGATTTTGTTGAAAAGTGAAAGAAAAATAATACTCAAATTGATTTATGTCCACTCCCAAATTTCAACCAATCAGTTTGTCGCATGCCGAGAGTTGCTTCCCTTGCCGTGTTATTGTTTTTCGCTGTCTTCATTTTTAGTTAATCTCGACTTAATGATTCTTTTCCTGGATATTCCGAATAATTTCTCTCTTGTCAGTGTTGATTAGTTCATATTACTTGTTTAATTTGATTTTGGCATAAATAAATCTTTTAGATTTATTAAGTATGCACGCCTAAAACTTTGTTTTATTGCCGTTATTACTGGACATTTATTAGTATTGTTGCTTTAGATTTGCTATTAATTTGCTGACATCAACATATTGGGAAATCCACGTTACCCTCCCCCTCCTCCTCCTCCTCCGTTGTACATTCATTTCACTCACTTGACTATTTTGATCTCTGAACTTTGTCGTTGCAATAAAAGCAGAATTATTGATATTTCGATTTTATTCGAGCTCTTCTAGGGGTGGGATAATAATCCTATTTCTTTTCTTTTTTTTTTCTTTTTCACACTCTTTCTTTCCTCTTCTTTTTTTTCTTTTTCATCTATTCACTTTTTCTTTTTTCCTTTTCCTCTCTTTTTTCTCTCCTTTTTCTTCTCTTTTTTTCTCTCCTTTTTCTTCTCTTTTTTCTCTCCTTTTTCTTCTCTTTTTTCTCTCCTTTTTCTTCTCTTTTTTTCTCTCTTTTTTATCTCCTTTTTCTTCTCTTTTTTTCCTTTTCTTTTTCTCTTTTTTCCTATTCTTTTTCTCTTCTAGGACGAGGATAATAGTCTTACTCTTCTCTTATTTTTCTTTTTCTCCTTTTTCATCTATTTTCTTTTTAAATTTTTACTCTTTTCTTTTTCATAACTTTTTTTTCATCCATTTTCCTTTTCTTCCTTTTCCTCCCTTCGTTTCCTTTTTCTCTTTTTCCTTTTCCTCTTTTTTCTTCTCTTTTCCTCTTTTTCTTTTCCTTATCTTTTTCCTTTTGATTTTTCTTTCCTTCCTTCTTTCTGTTTTCCATTTCTCTCTTTTAATTTTATATTTTCTTTCTTAAATTCTTTTCTTTTCCTTGTTTTACTTTTCTATCTTTATTCTTTACTTCTTTTACTATTTCCTTCTGTTTTTTCCATATATTTTTATTTTTACTGACTAAAAAAAAGGAATAATTGTAATTGAAACATTACTGACTAGTTTTTTCCTATGGGAATGTAAGTAAAAATTTTCACTTTAATTTTAACAAACTTATTTACTATTTTCAGGATCTTTGGAAATGCTTTAGTATAGCTTAAAAGTGTTTGAATGAAAGATCATCAAAACATAAAAATAAATGTATTCTATTTGTACAGAATTATTATTTATATTTTTAAACATCAGTTTATGCATCAGTAAATTTATATAAAAACATAAAAATGACCCATCTCCACTCCATTTAAAAACTCATCATTATAAATTTAAGAACATAGTAAACTCACTAAATTAAAAATTTTCTTTCTAAAGAATTGAAAAATGAATAAAAACAATCACACCAACATGTCACAACACTCTTTGCTTACACCACATCACTCATTATTCTACGACTTTAGATCCCAAAATGTGCTCCATGCACTTTCATCACATACTTCTAATAGCTTATTTTAAAAAATAGCATTGTTACAGAATTTCAAAATGATGATGACTTAAGAAAGTCAAAAACATGGACAATATTTCCTGTACTTTACTTCCAAAATTAACTTTGAACAATTTCTGATGGAATTTCCTACTTGTCTAAAAAGGATTATTCATACCTTGGAAAAGTCAATCATTAAAATTTACTGACACAAAATGTCTGTTGTATTTCAAAACATTTGTTGTGTAAATACACAGAATATATATATATATATATATATATATAAGTCATAATAAAAATATAAATATGAAATTCAATATTCAGTTAAAAAACTAGTTAAAGTGATTGAAAAGAGTAAAAATTGTTTTCTTTCTTAACATAGGCATTTTCTGACCCATTTGATGTTAACATTTATTATAGATATTCACATTTATTATAGAGATGCTCACATTTATTATAGAGATGCACATATTTATTATAGAGACTTCATTAAAAAAAATAAAAAAAAGCAAGACCACTAGCATCCTTCCAGTCCAACAAAAAGTCTGGCATTGAAATATATTGTTATATGTTAATTAAAATGTAGGTCTCATCATTTTACTGTTGAACTAGCTAGATGTAACTGAAAGTTCTATTCTAATAGTTTCTTTTCTTGCACTTGTTGCCTGTGGAATTCTCTTCCAGTATTTTGCATCCATGCTACCTACAATCTCCAAAAATTTAAATACAACATCAATTGTCATCTTCTGTCTTCCTGAACCCTGTTCTTTTATTGTTCTTTTTACTCTTTAAAGTCTTTTCATTCGCTTTCACTCTCAGTAACTCCTGTCATCTTAATGGCATTATTGCCTTGCATTTAATAAAATGATAAAAAAACTTCAGAAAAAAAAAAAATTTTAAATCTGAATCTGTTATTATTTCTTGGGCCAATTTTCATTTGAAAAAGTAAACTTTATCATAGAATGATAAAATGGATATATCTTTTTTGTCTGGTAAATCCCGCAGAAGTTGGTATGATAAGATCTCTCTCTCACTTGAAATAATATTATATCAGCTGTCACTTTCAATACAATATTTCTAATACTTTTTTTATCTTTTACAAAGGTTACACAAGATAATTTTATGCTTGGCTGATAAATATAGTAGATAGTAGATTTGTATATTAATAAAGAATGAGAAAGGGAATGCTTATTCTTTATTAGGTAAAGGCCTTAGTAGTCAATTTATTACTTATTATAATCTGGTAGTTTGCTTTTAATTATAGGTAAATTAAGCATTTATTCTTAACTTTTTTTTAGTATATAACCTGTTGGTTTTCAGTTTTCTATAAAAACAGTGTTGATCTTTAATTTTAGATTACAGTGCATCAATGTATAGCAGAGGCTCTAAATAGTGTCTGATTATAGTTATGATTTGTTCTATTAAAATGATAGAAATTCACTGATTCATCAGTTTATTACCATTTCCAATGCAAATAAAATTTTCTCTTCTTGAGCAATTTCAAAGACGTCATTTTGTAAATTGCTGGAAAGCTCTTTTACCTGGCTGTTTATAAACAAAATTTAAACTTTTTTTTATTGCTGTAAACCGTCCTAATTGCTACTTCATCAGTCGTCCACCTCTGCTTAGCTGGAGTCAACATTTCCTGCTGTTAGAGAAACATTTAATTACTAGGTACCAATTTTATACCTAAAATTTGTATGTTCTTTATGTTAGGGATTGGAAATCCATAAAAAAGAGAGTGTTAGTGGTTGTGATCTAATGTAAGACTTAGTAAGTGTATATAGTTTTATATATGTATGTATATATATATATATATATATATATATATATATATATTTCTGTAGTTTACTGCTACCAGCAAGCAAAAATATTTCTTCTCCTGATGATGGCCATTTTGGCCGAAACTAGTCAAGGAATCTAAATGAAATAATAATAAAAAAAAAACGAAAGAATATTAATCTACAACCCAGTGTCTGAAGATTTTAATTTTTTAATATTTTTTTATTGTTCAAAATTATATATATATATATATATATATATATATATATTTTTTATATATATATTGTATGCAAATGAGGTACTGCTATAAAAGAAGTATGCCACAGTGAATTCCAATCGAGCTACCGTCTGTTGACCTAACAATATCTATTCCAGAGAGTACACTACTTCATAGTAGTATAGCATCGCTGGTAGTATTCCTAATCGTATTGGATGAACTGGAGCATGTAGAAATGTGGATTTGATGTTTAGCAGCATTGGATAGGGTAAAGAAACTGAAAGACAAGAAAGCCTCCAGAGAAGAAAATGAAATTACTGATTTATTTTTGGCTTCAGCAGGATGTGAAGCCATAAAAAAAAATATCCATTATGGTGTAGCCCAAAATACTGGAAGACTTAATGTATGAGGATATTTCAACCATTATAAAAAGAAACATATGACCAAAGACAAAAGCTGATTGTTGCAGAAAGAACAAAATTTTTGGAAAATGGACAGAACCCAAATGAAACCATAATGCAATATTTACACAGATTGAAAGGAGTGTCAAGTTATTGCGACTTTGAAAAACAGGGTTTGAGAGAAATGTCTATAGAAGACAAATTGATCCTTCTAAAACTAATTGAAGGCAGGTGTGACATTACATACAAACGTATGATCCTAGAATGGTTACAAGCGAATGATATGAATTTAGATGCAAGTATAGAATTCTTGCAGCAATTAGAATTAATGAATGAAGCATAAAACACAACTAAAATCCTAATTAAGTACAAATATTGCGACAAAAAACATGAAAGAAGCAATAACAGATATCCAGCGCAAGGAAAATTATGTTTAGACTGTAAAAACAAAGACCATTTTCAATCTGTATGCGGATACAAAAAGAAAATAGAAAGGATAGAAAGTATAACCCTTTTTACTGAAAATACAGAAGTATATTTGATAAGAACACCTGTAAAAAGTAGAGAGGCAGTAAAATTGAATGGCATAACTTTGTGGGTTGATACTGGGAGTGATGTTACCATGATTCCAAGGAATTTCTGGGGAAAAATGAGTAAACCCAAATTAAGAAAAAGTAATCTTAATTTAAAACAATTTGATGGATCCATCATCAAAACTCTAGGTTCCTTTAATGGAACTTTGAAGACAAAAAACTGTTTTGAGATTATTCCCATCACTGTTGTAGAATGCACAAAAAATCATGGACTCCTGGGAAAATTAATAAACTGTATAAAGTCAGAAGAACCTGACATAAAACTATTGAAAGGATATAAAGTGAGTATTCGGCTAGAATGAAAATAGTCACCCAGTTTATTTGAATCTCAAAAATACCTATTCACATTCTACCCATGGTAGTTGCAAAACTAAAGAAAATGGTAGAACAAGGCATATTGGAGAAAGTTACCCAAGGTGGTAGCAGTTGGGCTTCACCAATTGTTGTGATATTAAAGCCCATAGTGACTTGAGGATATGTGGGGATTACAAAGTAGGCGTGAATCATTTCGCTTACATAGAAATGGCAAGTCATGAATTAGCAGGCATATAACCAAGTAGAAATTGACAAAAAATTTAAAGAAGTCACTACAATTAATACCCCAGTAGGCTTACTAAAATAGACTTGTCTTTCATTAGGAGTTAAGACTTCAAGCCATATTTTTCAAAAGGCATATTTTTCAAAAGTTCTACTGGAGGGTGTGAAAAAGGTAATCTTATATCAAGATGATATAGACATAGGTGCTTGCAATAAAGAGGAATAAAAAAAATGAACAAATTAAATTTTAAAATTTCTGGTATGACAATAAATAACGATAAATGCAAGTTAAATGTGACAAAATATCATATTTGGGATACCAAATATCTTGATTGAGGTTTGCCAGACAATAAACTGATAAATAAAATATTGAAGTATCTACACCAAAAAATAAAAAAGAAATAGAATCCTTTTTGGGATAGATCAATTTTTATAGCAAATATATACCTAGATACAGTGACCTAATAGAACCATTTGCAGAATTATGGGAAAAGAATACAGAATTTAAATGGACTCAAAGTAAAATATAGCTTTTGAAAGCTTAAAAAAGGCATTAATGAGAAAACTGATTGCAAAAATCTTTGATCCAAAATAAGAAGTGACATTGCAAGTGAACATGCCGTAGTCACAATTTTATCTCAAGAACGTCATCCAATAATGTACCTGTCGAGAAAATGTCAGCTACAGCTAACTACTCAAATATTGAGAAAGAAGCGTTAGCAATAGTACAGAGCACAGAAAGAGCTTGAAGTTTTTTGTTAGAAAAAAATCTGTTAAAGTCAGATCACAAAGCTTTAGGGTTGATATTTAACTCTAGAAATGAATCATCAAAAGTCACATCTAGAATTTTAAGAGGGGCTATAAAACTTATGGCTTTTGATTTTGACATCATATACATAAAGGGGAAAACTATTCCAG